TTTCAGAAATTATATGGTCTCATTACTATATTTGTAAATAATAATTGGTAAATAGTTCATATATAAATTATTATAAACTGTTTTATACCATATAATATGTTTATTACTAGAAAATATATATTTAATAAATTTACTGAAATAATACTTAACTATATGTTAAGTTATATATTTAATTGAAAATATACTTCTTTAAAACTTTAAATTTATTAATAACTGAATTAATTTTCAAAATATAAATTTAATATTTAGATAAGATTATTTCATATTATTAAATAAAAGAACAAATAACTGTATAATTTTTAATGTTTTTATATATTTTAGATGCTAATGATCTATTAAAAATTTCGTATGAAAGTATTAATCAAATAACAATTGAAGAATAGTTGCAATTTTTAAATACTAATATAGATGATTTTCTTTTTTTAGGTGACTAAATAATAAAGAGGATGATGTTTTTGTAAAATGTTATACTGATCAAAGTCTAACTTATAATGTGTACATTTGATCTATGGCATGGTAAATTGCTCAAGTAGACAGCCGCTACTAAAATTCAGTGTTGGTAGTCACTAAAAGGAGTATAACTCAACAACTAGGACCTAAAATGCTTAATTGAGAAGCCTTCTTTTCAAGTAACTTATCTGAAACTGACATCGAGGATCTCACTTCAACTTGCGGCTTACTAGGTGGTTCATTCCGTATAAGGTATTTAGGATTGCCACTTCATACCAAGAAGCTCTTAATCACTAATTTTGAAACTCTCCTGCTCCAAATCCAAGCAAAAATCAGTTCATGTACTCCAAATCCTTATCTTTTACTGGCATAAAATTTTTAATATCCAAAGTCATTGGAGGGATTACAAACTTCTGGAATGGAGCATTTATCTTACCTAAAGAATGCATCATCCAAATTGATAAAATGTGCAATGCCTTCTTGTGGAAACGCACTCTAGAAGGCAAGTATGTGGCTCAGGTTGCATAGGAAAAAGTCTCATCGCCGAAGCATAATGGAGGACTTGATTTTCGGAAGCTTGGTCTTTGGAATCGTACTTGCACTATCAAACAATTCTGGATTTTACTCTTTCGACCTGAATCAATATGGATATCTTGGATTCAAGACAATGTGAGAAAAAATGAAAGTCTTTGGATGATCAAGCCACGACAGAGCTCGACCTGGATATTCAAAAAGATTCTTGAAGATCGAACTGCGCTTAAATGGATCAGGGTCACGCCAAGTAATGGAACTGGTGTCAACTTCTGGCTAGACCCCTGGACTCAGTTTGGTCAGCTAAGCACGTTCACCGGCCCCCAAGGTCTCCGACAAGCTGGAATCTCGCTCACCACCTCAGTTGCAAACCTTTGGATCAACGGTGAGTGGTCCTTTCGTCATGCTCGTTCTCATCAGATGGAAGAAGTTCTGATCTACCTCACTACTGTCGCTCTTACATCAGACCCAAGCCATACTCAATGTATTGTGAAAGATAACCCCAAAACGTCATTCTCTTCATCGACTGTTTATAACTCCTTCTTCGAGCACACTCCAAGCATTCCTTGGCATCCGATAATCTAGACTAAGAAGGTATCCCTAAGCATAACTCCCTAGCATGGCTAATGTTACTCAATCGGAGCCATACTCGGGATCGGCTCTTAGCCCGGGGCTTTCAAACCGACTCCCTCTGCCTCCGCTGCAGTCAGAATAATGAATCGCGAAATCATCTCTATTTCGAGTGCCCTTTCTCTGGCGCCATCTGGAATCACTTTGCTTCTCAGAATCGCAGCGACCTCTAAAACCTAGGATGATGTTACTCAGTCTTTTTGTGCCTCCCGGCTCAGAACATCACATAACCTCTCAGTTCTCTTATGGCAAGCAACAATCTATAAAGTATGGTGGGAAAGAATTGGGAGGCTCCACAGATGGAATCACTGTTCATTGGATCTAATTTGGAAGAAGATCAAAAGCTTAATCAAGAACAAAATCTCTTCCCTAAGACCAGAAAGCAACTTAACGACAAGTTCTCTCATGCAACTATGCTTCTCTCTCTTCAACGGAACTAGTTAGATCACAACTAGATTTCCTCTATCCGACGATCCCCTTCCTATCGTTACTTCTTCTTCTCTTGTTGGGACTCAATTTAATCGGGGCTGGACTACACATGTGACTATTTCTTCTTGGGTTTCCACGAGGGCTCTCTTTATATTGCTCTTTTGTTTCCTTAGTTTAAGATTATAAAGTTGGCTGTTGTAACCACTTTTGCTACTTCTCTTTAATATATGCAAGAAAATGTTTAAAAATGCTTAATTTGAAGCTTATAATATTAGTTAAATTAATGTTTATAAATTATAACAATACATTAAATATATATACTATTTTATACTATATATCACTATTCAAAAGATAATAATATTCATATCATTATATTTCATAAGATTTTATACTATAATAATTATTATAATTTCATAATTGTTTAAGTTGATTTTTTAAAAAGTTTCAATTATTTTAAAGGGTTTAACCATATAGGTGATTTCTAAGGGAATCTTAACCCTAACTTTATTTTTTACTCTAAAATGAAGTAGAATAAAAGATACTTCAACCCTACTCTATTTACATTCCGATATCGAGTTTACTATATAAATGAAATAATATATTTTTTGTTCATCACATTGGTTAAAAATAGAGTAAATTAGAATATTTTTATTTAATATTTTATTTTCCTTGTTTTGGAGAAAAGGATAGAGTTTTATGTTGGAGATGCTTTAGATCATCATTTAAAACGTTTTTAGAATATTATTACTAGAACTCTTCTCCAGCCCGATTTATTTTTGTAATTTTTTTTCATTTAATAAGCTTTATTAAAGAGTGTGACAAGACGATACTGATAACAGCCGTAACTATTCAGCATCCGGAGGCGACGGACTGGTCGGAAAAACTCAGCATCCAATGGCCCTGTGATGGTGACATGCCTCCTAAACTCTATCAATGACCCAATTCAAAATACATAGTAATAAATTCCTGTTATTTCATCATTTTAATTAATAATTTTTTTTGGTTTATCAAAACTATTTTCACCATTCACGATTATTCAAATTTGAAAGTAGATATTGAAGAATGAAGTGTTACGTGTTTGCTACTTTATAATTTAAATATTTTGAATTTTATACATATTGATATGTATATAGAAATATTAAAAAATATCTATATATATATATTGTATCGCCTTACACTTAATAATATTTAAATGAATGTTTTTTCTTTCCATAATAGTATTTTTCTGCTTCATGAAAAGTGTAATTTTGACATTTTTACATAAATAAGAAAATGATTAAAAATATATATATTTAATAAATACATTCAGTAATTGATATATATATATATATAATTATTTATAAATTAAAATATGTTTTAATTAATATTTAGTTTAAAATAGGTATAAATTTATTGAAATTCGAAATTGACATTCTTTGTATAACCAGAAAAAAATGACAAAATAACAGTTATAATAAAAAAAGAAGGAAAACTTATTTTAAACAATGATGGCTAAAATACTCCAACTTTTAAACCTTATTCTTATCTCAACCATTTAAATATTAAATAACAAATTCTAATGACTAAACACTAAATCTGTTTTTATGTCGGTTCAACACTTCCGGCTTGGCTCCCGGATCTAGAGGATAGTTACTTAGTTATTCTTTGTTGTAAAAAAGAAACACTAAATCTAAATATATTATAAACTTTTATTAAAAGAATATTAGAAATCTTTTTCCTTCTATTATTTTATAATAAAATATTGTTTTGGTGTTATTTGAATGTATTTTTCTAACAATAACGCACACATTGGTTTAAATTTCAAAATTTCAAGGATTTTAAATCACTGACTTTGTTCAAAAAGTAAAATAATAACTGACTGTGTTGACAAATAAAGAAGAAACTATAAAAGCTGATTTAACATTTTCGCGGGTTTTCTTCTTGTTTCTACCTGAGCAGCATTTATGCTGCCGGCTCTCTAGATTTTCTACACTGTCTTGTTTCCATCTCTATAAAAGTGCTTCTGATGTTAAAAGCAGAAAACTTTTCAAGTCAGACAAAACATAGCAACATCAATGCTTCAACTGAGATACTAATTAATAATCTTCTGTCTTCTTCAGTTGAAAATATTAATAAACATAGCGACACCATTGCTTGTTTTCATCTCGGTGAAATAGATGAATGCTTAACTTGGTGAGAAACAATAAATAATATTGTCCTTGTGATGCAGGTTGTACACTTGTACTAATGTATACAGATAATTTATATATCCGATTCTTGATGTTTTTGTGTACTCAAGAAACGATTTGATTGAATTTATTTATCTATTTCCACAGCTATATATTATTTTGCAAAATCTAGTCTAAAGTATAGTTATTTTGGCAGTTTCTTTAAATCTTCCGTTTCAAAAAATCATTTATATCATTCTCTAACTGTAGGTGTGTGACCTTGAAGTTTTGGAAGATTCTGTTGAAAGTAGACTGGAGCAGAGATATTTGATTTTTCATTTTGTTGCCCTTTCTCTTGTGGAAAGGGTTAGATCCATAAGTGGAAGAGGCTTCATTTCCTCTGTCTGTTTCTTGAGAAACATTGGCTCAGTGATTTGACAAAAAGGAGGATAGGTTAGAGTTATTGGAGAGAGAAAGAGGAAAAGTGTATCTTTGTAGATCCTTCGGAGATTAAAGATTTTATGAAAGCTTACAAGGAGTTTTGGATTCATATAGCTCCAAAAAGCTGGTGTGGAATCTCAAAAGAGGGTGTTTTTGGCTGAGGGATTTTTGTTTTGTGTTTTGAAGTTTATGTGATTCAATGGAACTGAGAGGTCTTGTCATGTCTATGAATTTTGTATCCATCTGCAACTCTAGCTGTTGGTTTATTTTGGTCTTTGTCTTGATGTCCAACTTGCCTTAATAATGCAATCATCATTACAAAATCTCTGAGAATTCATTTAGCAAACCAATATTCTTGGGAGAGTGAGAGGAATTTAGAGAGTTGTTCTGGCATTTGAGTCTTAAATGATAAGAGGAAAACAAGAGAAGAGACCAAGTTCCAATGGGACTGAGAAGGTTCTTGTTGCTGTTAAAGCATCTAGGGAGATTTCAAAAACAGCATTAGTTTGGGCTTTGACTCATATTGTTCATCCTGGAGACTGCATAACTCTTGTTGTTGTTGTCACTTCTCACAATGCTGGTACTACTTTCTCTTCTTTGGTACTAAGTCATGGAGATTTACTTAGCTCTGTTTTAATCCATTCTCTTGTTTGTTTAGGTCGAAAGCTTTGGACTCTCCCAAGGTTTGCTGGAGATTGTGCAAATGGTCATAGGAAATCACATTCTGATGCAATCCCTGAGTTAAAAACTGATCTCACTGATACTTGTTCCCAAATGATTCTCCAGCTACATGATGTCTATGACCCAAACAAGGTTACTAACTTAGCCCATTACCAAAACATTAATAAAAAAAGAAGTTATTCTCATGTTTGTTTCTTTGAAAGGTTAATGTCAGGATCAAGATTGTTTCTGCATCACCATGTGGAGCAGTTGCATCTGAGGCCAAGGAGTCACAAGCAACTTGGGTAGTTTTGGATAAGTAAGTATATAAATAATAATTTCATTCTTTAGTTATGTAGTTTCTACTCTCTCTTAGTCTCTTTGTGTGGTTGAAATGGTTCTTTTACAGGCACCTTAAGCACGAAGTGAAACGGTGCACTGATGAGCTACAATGTAACATTGTGGCGATAAAGCGTTCTCAGGCCAAAGTTATGCGGTTGAACTTGGTCGGTTCACCAACAACAAAAGATACAGTGAAAGAGAACAGAAGCAGGTCGTTAGGTTCTGCTGGAGCTGTAGTTACAACTTCTGTGAGCAGTCCTGAGGTTGGCACACCATTCACAGGTACAGAAGCTGGGACTTCATCAGTGGCTAGCTCTGACCTTGGAACATCATCGCCTATATTCACAGTGGAGGTGAAAAAGAATGATGCTAATGCTTCTCAAGTATCTACATTACTTGAGTTTGATGGAGGAGAAACCAAGCTTTCTTCTAGGAGTGACTTGGAGGAGATAAGAGGAGCAAGAAATGCTCCTCCTGTTCCACCTCCTCTCTGCTCTATTTGTCAGCACAAAGCACCTGTATTTGGAAAACCACCGAGGTTTTTCTCTTACAAAGAGTTAGAGATTGCAACAAAAGGGTTTTCACAGTCTAACTTCTTGGCAGAAGGAGGGTTTGGATCTGTTCATAGAGGTGTGTTACCAGAAGGCCAAATTGTAGCAGTAAAGCAACACAAACTAGCTAGTACTCAAGGAGATGTAGAGTTTTGCTCTGAAGTAGAGGTTTTGAGCTGTGCTCAGCACAGAAACGTGGTTATGTTAATAGGTTTCTGCATTGAACAAAGCAGAAGACTCTTGGTCTATGAATACATATGCAATGGATCATTAGACGCTCATCTATACGGTAAAACCTCTTAAACCAGAGTTCATGAGCTAGTTAACTTGACAAACACTTAACTCAATGTTCATTCAGGTCGCCATAAAGACACTTTGGAGTGGTCTGCAAGGAAGAAAATAGCGGTTGGAGCAGCTCGAGGTCTTAGATATCTTCATGAAGAGTGTAGAGTGGGCTGCATTGTTCACAGAGACTTAAGGCCTAACAATATACTAATCACTCATGACTACGAACCACTGGTAACAACAACAAAGTATACACTTTAGTTTCATAAAGTTGCTTGATTCTAGTTTCTTTTTGTGCCTGTAAGGTTGGAGATTTTGGTTTAGCACGGTGGCAGCCTGATGGAGAACTCGGTGTAGACACGCGTGTAATTGGAACTTTTGGGTAAAGACTAAAATCATTGTTCTCTATCTCAAGAGTTCTTTAACTAATACAATACTTACTATGTTTGGTTTTGTTCAGGTACTTAGCTCCAGAGTATACTCAAAGTGGACAAATCACAGAGAAAGCTGATGTTTACTCGTTTGGGGTTGTACTAATCGAGTTAATCACGGGTCGTAAAGCCATGGATATCTCCAGACCAAAAGGACAACAATGTTTAACTGAATGGGTAAAAACTGCAAACCTGAAAAGTTTTCTTGTCTTACAAGTTTCGTTAAGCTCATTTTAGGGTTTGGTGAGCAGGCTAGGTCTAGATTAAAAGAATATGCGGTTGAAGAGCTTGTTGATCCGAGGCTGGAGAAGAGATACTCAGAAACAGAAATTATCTGTATGATTCATACAGCTTCGTTGTGTATACGCAGAGATCCAGCTTTGCGTCCTCGGATGTCTCAGGTAAAGCAAATCAAACGCTCTTGAAACATGTTTTCATTCATTAGTCAAACACTCTTTCTCAAACACAGAGTATCTGTTTTTTTCTCTGTATGTTTGTTGAAGGTGTTGCGTTTGCTGGAAGGAGATATAGTAGTGAATGAGAGGTTTAGTGGAAGATTATCGATTGAGAGAAGTCAGAAATCAGTGAGATTTTTATGTATTAATGATAGTATTACGACTAAATAAAGTAATTAATCAACAAAACACATTATCAACAAACTGTTCTTATGTTTCTCAATCACACATAAGCACTTATGTTTTGTGTTTCCATTAAACAGATTATCAATTGAGAAGTCAGGGATTAGTGAGATAATAAACCGACAAAAAAACATTGTCAACAAACTCTTCTTATGTTTCTCAATCACACAAAACTACTTACGTTTTGTGTTTCCATTAGACACATCCTCTAATGGAAGATTATCGATTGAGAGAAGTCATAAATTAGTGAGATAATTAAGTACTAATGATGATATCAGCGACTAAAATAAAGAAACTAACCAACAAACTGTCTTTATGTTTCTCAACAACAACTACTTATGTTTTGTTGAGAAGACAGAGATTAGTGAGATAATTATGTACTAATGTTATGACTAAAATAAAGTAATTAACCGACAAAACACATTGTCAACAAACTGAACAGACTAAAAGAACTTTGGCATGTTTCAGACAGTAACATTACAAAAGAAGGAGCTGTGTTTGGTTTTATGACGAAGGGTATGACGTCAGCCCCGAATATTCACTCGCCGCCACAGCGTCCTCGTCGAGAAACAGATTATCACTCCTCCTAACCGCCGCGTGGACCACAACCAAAACGGCGGCGGTCAACATCGCTCCGAGAATATTCGCCGTCGCGTGCGTGAACAAAAGCATAACGATCGTCAAAACCGATAGAAAAATCATGACCGTTCGGTCGTCGATCTGGTGGCTGAAGACCACGAGAGGCTCGTCGCGGAGGAAGTAGAGGAAGATCCAGAAGACGACCAAGACGGCCAAGACGAGGAGCGATGTCGGGTGGTAGATGAGGCTCAGGAAGAGGATGACGAGGACGGCGATGGCGTAGTTGGCTCTGAAGTAGACGAGGTTGGTTTTGATCCTCGAGATCGCGTCGAAGAAGCCGTGGGGGAGGGATAGGGACTCACGGTCGAACATTAGTTTCCATGGGCGGCGCGTGGCGAGACCTGATTTGATACGGTGTTTGGCGCGTGAGATGTACTCGAGATCAATCGGCGGAGATGGATGAGACGACGTCGGGATGGTTCCGTAGTTCGTCATTTTCGTTCACGCGTCTCTCTGAGATTGCTGGAAAAGAAAAAGAAAATGCTTTAATTGCTCACACTCGCCCCTCTATGGATTAGGTAATGGTTTAGGCATTTATGTCATATATATAGATAAAATATCATAAAAGGTTGATAACATATCTAAACTAACTCATAAATGCTAACAAACTCTCTTCCATCCAAAAAAAAGAAAAAAGTTCCATATATAATTTTTCAAACTATTAGACAGTTAGGGGTGGGCGTTCGGGTACCCGTTCGGGTTCGGGTCGAGTATTTCGGGTTTTTGGGTATTTCGGTATTGGGGTATAGAATCCGTTCGGGTATTTTTACATATCGGGTCGGATTCGGATATTTTTAGTTCGGGTTCGCTTATTTCGGGTCGGGTTCGGATAATTAGATTTTGAAAGAAAATTTCAAATTCTTTACTACTTAAGTTTCATGTATTTAAAATTTAACTATTAATTTAACTGTTTTTAAAATGTTTAATAAGTTAGACGATTAATAATTTTGAAAATAAATTATTGAAAATGAAATTCATTATTTTGGTTGTTATTTTTGAATTTTGGATGCAAATATTATTTAAAATAGGAAATAAGAAGCTTAATATGCATTTTAAATGAGTAACAAAATTTTTTTTTTTACAATTATATGTATATTATCTGATCTTAAATTATACATAACATTAATATAAATATTTTTAATAAAATGAGATAAATAAACTAGGAATAAATAGGTATATATACATATGTTCGGTTATTTTCGGATACTCATTCGGGTTCAGATAATACCCGTTCGGGTTCGGATATCCAAACTCTCCTAACTCAATAAACATTAACACGAGTGATACACGACCCGAGGACCACGACCCGCCCGTCTACCAACTGTGATCCAAATAACAAAGAATATTATGTAACAACATAACCAGTTCAAAGAGGTGATGATTCAGTGGTTCAGATGATTCCAAGCAAATAGTTCCATTTTCTATTATAATGTTCCACAAGGGGATTCATCATCAAATACATTTCCGAGCTTAACAAGAGACAGAGCTACAAGACTGAATGTGTGAAAAAGAATGCAAGATAAAATGAAGGGAGTTCATACATTCATGCCTGTCCGTTAAGTTCAAGTAAAGCTTTGTGGGCTTCTTCTTTGGAAGAGAATGTGACATAAGCAAACCCTTTTGGTCTGCATCTGACTTTGTCCATCATCACATCCACTGAAGCAACAAACACTGTGAAGAAGAGAAAAAAAGATATGTAAAACTAAAGATAGTGTTGAGAAGAAGAGGCTGACCTCCAAGAACTCGACCATAACTGGAAAAGACTCGTGTTAATGTTTCTTCTGTGCTTGAGAATGATATGCCTGCAAGAAACATTTAATTTAGTCTCCTAACTCTCCTAACAAGATAATTATACTTCACGTTTAGAAATTTAGTCATATATCTGCATTCAACTATTAAATAACATTTAATTTAGATATATACCTTCTTATTCTTTAGAAAAAACCCCAGTATATGTATTTTTATTAAAACAGAAAATCTCGGTTACAATTAAAACCTTTTGATTTGTTATTAATTATAAAGAACAATTAATCTTTAACAAATAATTCTTATGTTTACTTTAAAAAAAATTATAAATAAGAATCAAAATGAATTTACTTTGATACACAAAAAAGATTTACTTCAAAGTAAAATACTAAAAGTTAATTAATATATAATATTGGTTATATTATTACAAATTATGCTTGATGTTTTTTACAGTGAAATTTTTTTGGGGTTATTCTATGAGACGTACAAAATAATTATCAAACAAAAAAGAAATTGAAAAAAATATTGAATTTTTTTATTATAACATATTAACATAAATATTAATCACCATGAAACAAATTAAAAAGATTAATTATACCTAATTTCAGTTTTAAATGTTTTAAAATAAACATAACCAGTTATACTATTTTAATCTTCATATGAACATAATTATATAATTTTGGATTCCATATCGGCTACCCATCGGCTTAAACGGTTAGTTTCAGATTTTAGTGATCTTTGTGGATTTTATCCGACTTTTAAATAATAGATTCATTAAAATAAAACCGGGATATATTTAATCACCGGGTTTACTAGTTTAACCGCGGGTTCAAATCGAGATTAAAATGTAAAATATTTTCAATAGTCAAAATTCTTACAGATTAACAAAACATTTGTAACATTCTTAAGTGCGTGTCAAATCATTGAAATTTAATAAAAATTTAATTTAATTATTTTATAGAAAAATTATATATAATGTAAATCTATAAATATAATTATATTTCAAATATTATAAAAATGTATAGTGGATCCGGATGTGGATATCCAGACCTAAATTCCACTATCCGGATCCATAAAATCACTATATGATTTGGATCCTCAGATATTCGTTTATTCATATGTATATAATTATAATATATCTAATGATCTGAATGGTACATATATAGTATATCTATATGGAAAAAATAACATTATAATTTTGTAAAAATAAAAACTGTGCGAACGTGCGGGTAAAATCTAGTTAATTATTATACATGCAATGTATAGATTATAGCATGTGCGAACCGTCCATCTAGTTATAAATAAAAACTGGAATAATAAATGTAGTTACTCTAGTTTTAAAATAATTTTTAATTCATTGTAAAAGTTGAAATATGATATGGTTATAACAGATTTTACTCTGAAAAGAGTAATTATAGAATGTCGAGCATACTCTTACCAAAAATTCAGAGGGTAATTTACCACTCATGTAGAAGAAACAAAAAAAAATGATAAATGACAACACTGGAATGATGAAAAGGATGAGATTTCGAAGTTATTGTAAAATGCAAAACATCCACAAAAATAACTAAAACCAAATCGACAGAAACTGAAAATTTTAATCAGAGAGTAGGAATGGTTTTGGATGCTATGAATTGTTTGAGAATCGCCTTTTCTTCATCAATCCTCTTCTTCTCTTGTGCGTTTTGTGGTTTTACTTTTCTTTTCTCCTCCAACATCCATTTGAAGAGCTCACGTTGTTGCTTCTCCGGTAATGGCTCACGTGCCTTGACCACCACTGGCTCCGCAACCACTGCAGAAGACACCGGCTTTTCCACTGTAACAGGAGCCGCGACTGAATCTGATTTAGCAGCAATCTCTTCACTTGCAGGTTCTTCTATGTCCTTCTTCTTAGTCCTAAAGAAAAGGTAACCTGCAACAGCAATATTAAGACCAATAAACTAAGTCATGAAAGTATCTTCCACCATAAAATGCAATGATTGTAACTTGAACGCTCAGGTAAAAACCGCAGTTAATAGGTTTATATAGATATTAACAGCTTATCACACATACAATTTAAAGCCCAAGACGATTTCAATGGATGAGTTAAACGAAAGTTGTATCTACAAGATCAGGAATCCAGAAAAATATTCAAGAAACAAACCTCGATGGCCAGAGGTATGGGTGCAATTTACATTACATCATACACAAGGTTTAGTCATATGCTTTAGCAGGCATTCACAAAGCGGAAGATATATATAGTCTGAGTGAGATGACTATAAAATGCAATGATTGTAAAAGTTTAACGCTCAGGTAAAGACCTAATCAGATGTGGGAGAAAAGTTTGTTCACAAACAAGGTAAGAGCATTTTTAGATGAGTCAAATTGTGTGTATCACTAGAGACAGTAGTAAACAAGGGTTATCATTACAGCACATCACATCATCATTTATGCCTCTCCACTGACACATAACATATATCATAAGCCTTGTTAAACCTTAGAATGTAGTAAACAGATAGAATGTAAGACCACAAAGAATCTATTCAGATCTAGAATCTGAAGCTTTGTGCTTTCTTAATTTTCTAAGCTCTAATTTCAATAATCCCTAAATCCTCAAACCCTAATTTTACCTCCGACGGCGAGATTGACGGTGAGGAGAAGCGGCCACATATATTTGTACCTTCGAGCGAACGATTCCTTGGGAGGCGGAGGAGGGGGAGGAGCAGAACCACCGCCCATCGTATACGAAGCCGCCGCCGCCGCAGCTGGATTCGACGATGGAGGAACGGTGGTCCCACCTGTGGCTTCGACGTGCTTCAGCTGAGCAATGATATCTGAATCAGATCACCAAAGGTCAAAGATTCGTCGAGTGAGATTGGGGAAAAAAAGCAAAATTATGATTAGGGTTTAGGATCGGTTACATACTCTTCTTCTTGGGTTTGTTAGTGAAAAGCTTGGGACCTTCTTCACTCATGGCGAGATTTTCGATTCCAACGAGGCTCCGACCAACAAAATATAAACTGTTCTTCTTTACTTCCTTCGCAAATGTTTATGTTTTTCTTCCTCTCCACTCAATGGATTAATTAACTTGTGATTTTCACTTATATCCGTTATTTAAAATAACTTTATTTAGTGTTCACCTATACTTATTTTAGAAAAGAATACTTCAAACATTTATGATAAAAAAGTACTTTAAACATTCGTTATCAATTTCCAATAATTTCAAATCAATAATAATTCACGAAAACTTTATTAATTTTAAAAAATTCAAATTTATTATTATAGTAGCTAGTAATTTTTATTAGAAAACATAAAAATATATCTTTATAAAACAACTTTTTTACAAAAACAAAGAGGGAGTGCTTTTTAACTTTATTTTCCGGTTTAGTATTAAAATTCATATTTGTCAACCCATTTAAATAGCATTTCTATGATTTAATCATATCTACCAACAAAATTTTGATTTAGTAAAAACACAAATTTTGATACACCGAATTATTATGTTTATCTCAACAAGAGAAAGAAAATGTAAACAAGGTATTCCTGCATATTTATAATTCAAATTTTCTTAACCCATTTGCGCGCAGCTTCATGGATTGCATTACCAGAACATTTATGTAAAAACGTCACTTTTATTTTTATTTTTCCAAAACGTCACTTTTATCTCATAACGTAAAATTTGATTGTAACTTGCTAATCTCATTAAGCAAATTAGAACAAGAAAGTAAACTCCACTATCAACATTTTGCTAGAATTAACAAAAGTGTGACTGCCAAAACTTAAATTACGAAATCTTCGGTTTTGTTCTTAAAACCAAATCATACCATCAGATCAAATGTTATCTTACACGTTTAACGTTTTGAATCTTTTGATGCCAATGCCAAATGTTTCATGAAGAGAGTGAGGCATAAAATATAAAAGTAAATGGAATAAAAGATAACCACTGAGTGACTGAGCCCTAAAAGCCAATAACACATACATAAACAGAGATCAGCTAACTCCAAGCTCTTCTGCTTCCACGGTCTCTAAATCCTCCAAGTCCTGTTTCCACAACATAAACCACATTCACAAAAATCAGAAACTCTATTTATTTTCTAATAATGAACCAGAACACAGCAAAAGTAAAGATCTTTCGAGTGATACTGACCTGGAGGAGGAGGAGCAGTGCTGCGACCCATTGATGCCAATTCATGGCTCACTTTCTGTCCAGCTTCTTCTAGTATGCTGACAAGCTCTTTGGCGAATCTCGCATTTGCAGCTGTGAAGAAACTGTAAGCTGTTCCTTTGGCCCCGGCTCTACCCGTCCGTCCAATCCTGTGAACATAATCCTCCAGTGATCCAGGGAAATCATAGTTTATCACATACTTCACATCTTTAACATCTGTTAAGAACCAAAAAAAAGAGGTTTATTAGCTTGTCGCATGCTAAAGAGAGATGATGTTACACACAGAGGCGAAAGAATTAGTACCTAATCCACGAGCGGCGACGTCTGTAGCAGTCATTATAGGGCTTTTGCCTGATCTAAACTCCGAGAGTACCCAATCTCTCTCGGCTTGACTTTTATCACCATGTATTGACAAAGCAGGCCAACCATCCATGCGAAGCTGACGAGTGATTTGGTCACAGCCCTTTTTGGTGTCAAGGAAGACAAGAATCCTGCTTCCATCCATTATGTCTTCAAGCAACTTCACCAGCCTGAGAAAAGGGCCACAACAGTTTATTTACAACAACGTCCATGGATAGTAAAATGAGAGAGGGCATATGGGTAAGGACTAAGAAGACGTACTTGTTATACTTTTGGCTTTCTGAAATGACATCAACAATTTGACGGATTGCACGGTTAGCTTTTAAATCAGAAGATCCTATTATAACCTGCACTTAAGACCAATGAAGCCTGTTAAGTTTTTGTTCACAGCTAAACTCATATGAAAATAAGACAAAGAGAGAGTGTCTCTTACTTTGTATGGGTTATAAAGAAACTTCTTAGAGAGTTGTTCCACCTCCTTAGGCCAAGTAGCACTCCAGTACAAAGTTTGACGGTCTGGCCGAATCTGCACAAACAGGTTTCAAAACACTGTAAAGACAAAGCAACGAGGATACCGATATTAAGTTGTCTGAAACAGAGGTAAGAAAACGAACATGTGAAACAATTTTCCTGATCTGAGGGTCAAACCCCATGTCCAGCATCCGATCAGCCTCATCCAAAACAAGATAAGTAACCCTTCGCAAGTTTGTGTTGTTCGTCTCCATCATGTCTATTAACCTCCCAGGAGTTGCTATAACAATCTCCACACCTAAATTCATACACCAATAACCACACAAATCAGAATGATCTACAATGAACAAAAAAAGCTAATAGTTTGTGAAATTACACTAAAGCAATTCACCTTTCTGAAGATCACGCACTTGAGGCCCTTTTGGAACACCACCGTAAATGCAAGTGCTCTTAATCTTTGATGATGAACCAAACTTAGACGCTTCTTGCTGTATCTGCACGGCTAGTTCACGTGTAGGAGCAAGAACCAAGACGATTGGGCCATCTCCAGGAGCTGGTAAAAAAAAATTACATCTTAGTATCAAACAAGAACCAAAAGAAAACTCCACACGCAGATCATCAGGCGTTACCTAAAATTGGTTGAGCATTCACATGAACTATGGCAGGTAGCAAGTAAGAAAGAGTCTTGCCAGAGCCAGTTTCAGCAATGCCAATGAGATCACGTCCCTTCAAAGCCATAGGCCACCCTTGAGATTGTATAGGTGTAGGGTCAGTAAAACCAGCCTTCTTAACCTCTTCCAAAACATAATCTGGGACAAAATTAAGAAACTCTTATCAGTAGACATACATGATACACCTAATCTCAGCTAGTCTCTCAAGATGTAAATAATCAGGTACAAATCAAGAAACTCTTATTACAAACAGAACAAAACAAAACTTACCAGGAAATCCAATAACAGAATATCTTCATAATACAAACGAACACATCTAAGACTATTTACGGATGAACAAAATATATCAGGAAAGCCAACATCACGATAGCTTATTACAAACTCATCAAGCAGTCAAGAAACTCTTACTACAAACAGAACAGCACAGAACTTACCAGGAAATCCAACAACAGAACATCTTTTTATTACAAACGAACAAAACATCCTTTATACACCTAAGACTATTTACGGATGAACAAAATTTACCAGGAAACCAAACATCACGAAAGCTTATAACAAACTCATCAAGAAATCGAAGAAACTCTTCCTACAAAACACCTAAGACTCTATTACAGATAAACAGAACATAACAGGAAACCCAACATCATGAAACTTTTATTACAAACAATACACCTAAGACTAGCGTATTTACGGACGAACAGAACAGATCAGAACTTACTAGGAAACCCAACATGACAAAAGCTTATTACAAACTCATCAAGAAGTCAAGAAACTAATATTACAAACGGAGAGAACACCTAAGGCTCTTTACGGATGAACATAACATAATAGGAAACCCAACATCAGAAACTCAGAACATCCATGATACACCTAAGACTCTTTACTACAGAACAGAACCTAACAGGAAACCCAACACCACGAAACTCTTTTGGTACAAACAGAACAGAACATTCATGATACACCTAAGACTCTTTAGTATAAAACAGAACTTACCAGGAAACCCAACATGATGAAACTCATATTACAAACAGAACAGAACAGACAACAGCCATGATAACAACTAAGAGTCTTTAGTAGAGAGAAGAGAAGTTACCAGGAAAGCCAACATCACGAAAGCTTTTGACAGGTTTGGGAATATCACGACCTTCAACAGTAATCTCCCTCATCCTCCGATACTCCTCCACTTCAGCGTCCGTCATAGCCGCCACAGCTGGAGACTCGACATAGAAGTTCTTCTCGAAAGGAGTCAAACCATCCAAATCTGGCTTCTTCGGAGACTCCTCATCGCCACCACTACTCTCCCTCTTACTACCTGAGCTTCCGTATGTTGAAGAAGCTCCACCAAACCCTGAGTCACTAACAGACAAAGAAAAAGGCAAAACTTGAAAAATTGAAGCAAAACTTCTTCTTCTTCCCATACGAGCTTGATCAAAATCAATCGAGTGGATAAGTCGAAACAAAGCAAACAAGACTTACCTTCGACGGTCACGGTAGGAGGTGGAATCGCTGGTGCGGCTATCGTAGCGACTCATGATAGATCTCCGTCGAGTCAGTTCAACTTCTCCGATTAAGGAGCTGAAATCTAGTCGTTAGGGTTTACAAATCAGAGAGAAAAGAGACAAATGCTCATATTTTGCTAAAGTTACGGGAGGCTTGTATTAAACTTTCTATAAAGGACAAATTATACTCCGCCACGTGGTTAAATGAGTGTCACCGCCTTTGTATTATCACTGTCACAATCTCACAGCAGCAAAGGAAAGCAAACAAAAAAGAAAAAGGAGGTGAGATAGAATTTTTTTTTTAAAAAATGGGGATGATGATTCTATCAGCAGCAAGCAGCACTAGTCTGGTGAGAGCTGCTGCTTTAGATACGAAGCCTAAGCTCCGATACAATCCCAATTCGCCTCGTAGAAACCCTAATTCTACCTCTTTCGTCCCACCACCACCGTCTTCTCCTGCGGCGACAGTATTAGCAAGGGGAAGTAACGTCTCTGATTTGCTCAAAGGTAACGACTTTGGGTTGAACAAGTGTTACTGATATGTATCTAAATTCGCTGCTTTTATATACTATAGAAGAGATTGGTGATGATGAGAAATGGTTTCCAACTCCACCGAAAGTGGATAAGCCTAGATCCGTCTTCAATGCTGCCTCGCTTGCTTACATTGGCGATTCCATCTACGAGGTTTGTACTTAGTCCTTGTTGTTTGTTTTTGGATGTGTTTACTGTATTGAGAGTTTAAGACAGTCACTACCTTTGATTTTAGACATTATTTTTTTGTACTTTAAATCATTGTTTAGGATGCAAGAATGTTGAAATAATGTTCATGCTGTCTAGTGTTTTTACTACTAAGATACTCAACTATGAGCTTGTGTTTTTTTTTTTAGGATGCTAGAATCTCAGAATATAATCATGTTATTGTTGACAGTTACTACGATTTTAGACAAGTTATTGTAACTTAATCCCTTGTTTAATTATGCTGTGATTTCAGACAAGTTTATGTAACTTAATCCCTGTTTAGGTTGCTATAATATCAACTGATGAATGTGGTACTGTTTATAGCTGTCAGCTATGAGCTTGTGCTTTGTGATTTTAGACAAGTTTTTTGTAACTCAATCCTTGTTGTTTTAGGACGCAATGACATCATATGATATAGAGGCTAGTTGTAGACAAGTCTTTTCTGTACTTAGTCCTTGTTGTTTTAGAGGCAAAAAATGTCAAAAGATAATTATGTTAGTGTTGACAGTGTCTAAGAGTTTTTGCTTCTTGATTTTAGACATATTTTTGTACTTAATCCTTGATTATGATGCAAGAATATCAGATTATGATTATAGTGTTTTAGTGTTGATAATAGCACTAAGATAGTCACTATGAGCTTGTGCTTTGTTAATGTTTACAGTTACTGTGATTTTAGACAAGAGTTTTTATACTTGTCTAAAATCAAATGATGGATATGTTAGTGTTTATAATAGTTCACTATGAGCTAGTGTTTTGTGATTTTAGACAAGTTTTTGTACTTGTCAAAATGCAAGAATTTCAAAAATGATAGTGTTTACAGCATTAAGATAGTCACTCTATTGATATTCCTTAAGGTGGTGTATGTAGTGTGTAAAGCATTAAGGTAGTGCTTTGTGTTTTTTAAACAAGTTCTTATACGTAATCCTTGTTTTAGGATGCAAGAAGGTTAAAATGATAGAGTTTAAAGCATTTAAGACAGGCACAGTATTTTGATACTCCTTCCAAGTTATTTAATCATATCCTCTTGGCTTTTGTATATAGATATATGCTCGTCGCCATTTTCTTTTCCCTCCACTTAGTATTGAAGAATATAACGACCGTGTTCAAGCAGTCGTGCGATGTGAAGCACAAGTACGTTTTTTATTTTATCTTCTTGTCTACGTACACTATATTCTTTAACGCTCCAGTATCTCTGTTACACTTTTGATATCGGTTTGATAATAGTTTGAAGCCTGAAATGTAAATTAGCATTGGTATCGTTGTCAGGATTGTTAATTAAGCTAAGCTGTTCTGTTGTGTGTCTTCCTCTTCAGTATGCTTTGCTTCAGAAGCTCGTTGATGAGGATTTCTTAACTAAAGATGAAAGGTCAGTTGCAAAACACAAAGGGTTTTGTCTTTCCATCATATGATTGTTTGAATCACATGCTACACTAAGTTCTGTGACTACACTGTATACTGAATCGATCTGTTGACAACATTTTTGGTGCAGAGAGATACTTCGGTGGGGGAAAAACGTAGGCTCTGTTAAAACAAGGTCAACTAGGCGTGCTGGTGTTGCGGTTTATAACAAGGCCTCATCATTGGAAACACTTGTAAGTGTGTTGTTCATAGCCTGAAACTCAACAAGTGTAATACATGTTTAACCTTCTAAACTTTGTTGAATTTCTCAGATTGGCTATTTGTATCTAGCAAACGGCAAGAGATTAGAAGAAATAATGCAGAAGATGGGATTTTCAAGTGGTTCTTCAACAGAGATAATGGTTAAGGAGGCCAAGCAAAAGCTATCAGCTTTAAAATAAACTTTATATATATAGCTGTATCGTTGCAAATGTTTTAGAACATCGAATCCACTTCATCAAAACGTTAGAATGTCGTGGTGACGTTTTTGTTCCAACCAAGTCCTAAGAGAGTGTTTGGTGAGAAGGGTCCTCAAAAGACCACGTAAATGGCCCTAAACCGAACTGAATCAATGTAACAACCTAAGTACATATCTTTTTTGGGTCGGTCCAATTCGGTTCAGTCACATCCACTTTTTCCATTTCCTTCAGTTGAGTCAACAAAAACAATCCCAATTTTTGGTAGCGAGGTACAGTTAAACCAAAAGACTATCTACACCCTTCTCTACTGGGCCTATATATGGGTTTGAGGAGAAAGAATGAAGCCCAGCAATATTTAGAGTCTTCTCTCAAATTTATTGAGCACAAACTCTGAAATCACCTATGGGTAGGGTATGAATTTCGAAAGTGATTAATTTTAGGTATCTCCTAAAGCCAATCCGTAATCCAAAATATCCCGGTCGAGTATACGATATACATACCGGTAATTTTCGGGTTACATAGACCGGTTATGGTAGAGTGGGACCAAGAGCGAAGACGTTTCAAGGGACCAGAAACGGCAACATTGGGAACGGGTGTCTGAAAGGTGGTCTGACCACGGTGTGAATTAGAGGAGAAGAGTCAAAGCCAATGATGACTCTTTGCTTAAGAAGTACAATCCAATCGCTGTATGACACGTATCCTTCTGGTCTTCTATGGTTTCACCGACCTGTCACTTTCACTTATGTCTGTAAGATGAGATTCCTCTCTATGGTTGCAGTGAGTAATGTCATACTATTACAAGTAAGAATTTTGTATTCACATTACTATAATTATATATCAGAGCTTAAATGTATTTTTATATATTAATAACTGTACAAAATAGAAAGTATCATTTAAAAAGCAGAACTACATAACATGTGCACCTTATTTTTCAATTTGTCTTAATCAAAATGCAAAATTATCACTAAGGAAAAGGAAAAAGAAATTCAAACTTAGTTATTATTATGACTATTATAAGTCTATGATTAAAGGCCGAAAATGACGTCGACGAAAAATTAGGTGCTATGAAAAATAGTATAAACTTATATAAGTTAATTGAGATTTTATTTTATTTCAAACTTTTTTTTTGAAAAAAGGGATATTATTTTATTTCAAAGTTTAAGCAAAAAATAATAATTTGAGAAATTAAATATCTACAAACTATATTTTTTGTCAACATTTACAAACTATATATCTTATATATTAAAACAGAAGTCATGACTTGATTTCATGTGTGATTTTTTTTTAAAATGGACTGTTACTAGAAAGTTATGTTACATTAACTCTCTAATAATATTATCATTATTATATCTTATAATATGCTTAACAAATTTGTTTTGGTAAATTACCCCACACGTTCCAACTTAGTCACGCAAAATATGTCAATAGATATAAATTTAGGAATCTTCTATTATTTATAAGGAAATATGTCAATAATAGTTAAATGCATCCAGAATATATTAACAAAAATTACAGATTATTAATATGTAATATTGTATTTATATACCTTAACAAAATTTACACGTTATATATATTAGATAAATTTATTTCGATGTAAAATTTAAAAATTGTATTGTTTAGAAAAAAAGAAATTGTTTAAAAAGTTCCTTTTTAATAAACTTTTCATAATATTAATTTATGAAGCTATAAGTTTAGTTTTTAGCAAAAAATTCTTCGAAGTTTATATTATCTTTGCAAATTAGATTACACTAATATTTAATCAAGCTCTATTTATATTACTTTATCTAAAAATGAAATACTAATCTAACAAACAATAAAATATAGAAGAAGAAACAAACACATGTTTGAAAGTCATGTATAATATAGAAAATTTGAAACAATCTATTTGATTAAAACACTTATTATATAATATTATTATGTTTGAAAAACATTTACTGTACATATCGTAAATATGTGATTACTATAATATATACCAATTTACAAGTAAAAACAAAATGTTTATATAACTATAAACGAAAACAAACACCCGCGCGGTTGCGCGGGTCAAAATCTAGTTCCTTTTAATTTTACTTTCGTTGCATGTGAGGGGCCGGGTCCACTTTGTCTTTCCTAGCTATTTTCGTTATTTATATATACGCATTCGGCATTTCTCGCATACATTTTTTTTTGTTAAACATGCATTTTTAACCGAAATTATTTATCAAAACTCATGTGATTGTAATTATACAATGATAACCTACGTTTTATATAAACCAAACCATGATGGGTTTCTTGATTTTGCAAAAAAATATAAATAAATCTAGGTTTTCTTTTATAACCTATAGTTTTCTTCATACGTCGAGATATTAAGATTTAATATCCAGAGACACGCATTGTTGACGTGGAGACATAGACATGTAATCTTTATTGACCTATGGTTTTTTCGAATCTTGATTAATCATTCCTTGACATTGATGAACCTTTTTGGTTATCCAATAGTGAATCATGTTTTGCGAATAATTAAACCATGTCTTATCGATAAATTTGCATATTTCTGTATTGGCTTCAGTACCCACCATATATGAATGTTTGGACTTTTCCATTCCTTTTTGGTTCAACAAATTTACATCGCAAAATCTACACTTTGTGTGTTTTTTGTTACAACAAATTTATATTGCATACAAACATGCATGTTTTAGGTACTAAATAAAACCCAAAACACATTTTATAGATAGTTACAGATGTACTTTGGACCTTTCTTATAAAAACACAATCTCTAATAAAGCGAAGTTTGGAGACAACATCAAATGTTTTGTAACATTTTCAGTATAATGCAAAAACAAAAACTCGTGTTAAAATGATTGAATGATTCAGTCTCTGGATATTGTGTTTCAAACCCTATCCTTATATGTACAACGTCTAACTACAAATAGTATAAGACTTTATGATCAGAAGCTTACATGATTATTGATGCATAGGTGTTACGAACTAGAAAGCCGCTCTGATGTGATGGACAATATTTATATGGTTTCTTCTATCAAGTAAACGAATTTGAATTTTGTTTCATTTTGTATATATAGATCACCATGACACTAACGAACCATGTATTAAAAGATGTATTAAACTCGTAAAATGGTTGACAAAAGAGGTTCATATAAGGACACCATAACAGCATTCATGATTAATAGGTTTGATCAGTATTTGCTTTTATTTAAAATGTTGATAATATGAGGAGTGTAGTGGTGTCTAGTCTACGACCGTGGACCGACTATGGTCTACGCATGAAGCCATGAATAATAATTTTTAACTAGGTTAAGATCCGCGTATTGCGCGGAATGAACATTATATATATCTATTATATTTATATGCATTATATGTTATAAAATAATAAATATATATTGAATCATTCAAAATCAGTAACTATTACGTCTATAATTAAATTGGTGTGCAAACAGAAATAAATTTCAGTAAATCAAATATCTTTTTTATGTGATATACAATTAAATTTAAATGATATTAAAGTATATATTATGTATTTTTTTGTATTGTTATATACTAAATGATGCTTTTCATTCCTATGATTTTTTGATCATTTGTGTTTATAACAATTGAAATCGCTGATAACAAAATTTTACTGTGGAATTGATAGTTGTAGCAATTTATAATTTAATAATTTATAGTTTTTTAAAAAATCAAAATATAACATAGACAGAAAAATCTAATTTTTTACTTTTATGGAAAATATTGTTGTTTAATTTATTTCGCTAATTTAAAATTAAACAAATATTATAGATGATATACTAATTTTTATTATTCAAAACCATTAATTTTCATATATATTTTAGTAACATTAGGCAATTCCTTATTTCATTTAAGGAAAGAAAAAAGAACATTAATGATAAATTTTGGCTAGATTAATAAAAAGCTTATTATAAACATAGATGGACCAACCTTTTTTTCTAAGGATTTCTAAGACTCATTATGGTAATGACACATGGCTACCAAAAATGTTGTAATGTTTCTCCTTTAATATATAGGGGATTTTTCAAAATGAACAAAAATTGTCAATGATTTGTGTCCATAGCTCGATGTAGATCATAAAGTAGGTTAGGGCATGTGTCACTGAATAATTTATTATTTCGTCCACTGAACCATAGTTTAATCCACTCAATTTGATTTTCTCCTTTAACATGAAATGCCTCAAGAACCCAATAAAATGAATGAAAAGTGAAACCTTTCTCCCTTTTAATCAATGACTCAATCATGTATAGTACTGTAATTTACAAAATTCTAGTCTTTTTCTGTGGGTTATAACAAAGGGTCTAAAGTTCGAGATGCCTGAGATTTACATTGACCATACAAGATTAGTTTGCATGTTATTGACACTTCATATTTTAAATTAATAAAAAGAACAAATATTCGCATATAATAAAATAAAATAAAATGTAACTGTGGATATTTATATTTCAAATTAACAATTTTAATAACTTTAATATATATATATATATAGCACGGAATTCATAAAAATATTGTTCAATGACCTGGGAGTGCAAAATTTGTTCGGCATTTTCTATAACACACATCAAGATTCAAAACATACTCTGCTGATTATAATTCAGATTTGACAATGTTGTCACAAAAATAGAAACCAATAAATTACAGATTCTGATCCACAAAACACAGTACAATTATGAAGACTGAAATAAATAAAAATTATTAATAGTGAGTGCATGCACGAAAGCAAATTCAAACATGTCTTCTCACTATCTCGAGAAACGTACAAACTTACAATCTCCTCTTTCTGCAAGCTTTTCACACAACTGTGCGAAAGTATATTAAAATTTGGCCCACCTTTCTTTATCAATACAAAGGCTTCGAATGGAACGTGCAGATCAGAAAATGCAGATCAAACAAAAACGCAGATCAAGCAGAACAAATGCAGATCATGCAGATCAAGCAGAACAAATGCAGTTCAAATTAATTTAATAAATATTATATTTAAATAAATGTTAAATATTTTTAATTAAAATTAAATATATAAACAAAATATAACTTCTATATAAATATGTNGGCTTCGAATGGAACGTGCAGATCAGAAAATGCAGATCAAACAAAAACGCAGATCAAGCAGAACAAATGCAGATCATGCAGATCAAGCAGAACAAATGCAGTTCAAATTAATTTAATAAATATTATATTTAAATAAATGTTAAATATTTTTAATTAAAATTAAATATATAAACAAAATATAACTTCTATATAAATATGTAATAGATATGACGTTGACACAAATAACACTAAATCTAATCATTTTAATAAATATAGTAAAGTTTAAATTATAGTAAAATTTAAATTATATTAACAATTATAAATTTTTTGTTTTGCTCTTATCTTTTTTGTATTTTATTCAATATTTGGTTTCCTTTTGCCATTTCGTTCAACTAAAAACTAATATTATCAATTCTTATAATGTTATTGTATCAACAAAATCTTTATTTAAGATATAAAAGTGCAAACATGTATATGTGACAACAAAAAAATATGTTTGATATTTTCTAGATATTACTATATGTAATAATGAACAAAAATAATATTTTATATTTCATTTTTTAAATAAATTAACTGAATGTTTAAAATAAATTTTTAATTTAAATATCTATAAAATCATACAAATTCTTATATATTAATAATAGTAATTATTATTATTATTTTAATAAATACAAGGAAACTTTCTGACAAAAAAACACAAAGAAATTTTTAATATTATATAAAAAGTAAGTACAATTATGATATACAATGAAATTGAAAAACATAATATGAATTATTTTTGTTTGCCTATAATATATATGCAATTATTAGACAAAAAATATGTCTATAAATACGTTTTACAGAAAAACTGTATAAATTTTTGAATATCTAAATTAAGTATATATGTGTTTATGATATATATAAAAAGAATATATCATATTATATATTTGTATTAAAAATTGTCTTAATATTTTAGTATACAAGACTTAAAAAGCTTACTTTTAAAGAGAATTTTTAGTTGTGAAAAATAAATAACTATTTAATATTATAGGTAAAAGAAAAAAACAAATAAAAAGCAGTATCTTACTCAAAAATAATTAAAGTATGTATTGGGCCTTGTCCTGCATTTGGTCCGCTGTTTTTCTACTTGTTTGTGCAGAACATTTTTTTATCACACAAATTTTTCCTGCATGCAGTTCTAATTGTTTTTTATTAATATTACTTCTTCTGCATTTATAGTGGTGATTGGGAATTAAAATGCAGAACAATCTGTATTTAATCTCTCCTGCTTTTCTTCTGCATTTAAACTGCATTTCATTCAAAGCCANTGGTCCGCTGTTTTTCTACTTGTTTGTGCAGAACATTTTTTTATCACACAAATTTTTCCTGCATGCAGTTCTAATTGTTTTTTATTAATATTACTTCTTCTGCATTTATAGTGGTGATTGGGAATTAAAATGCAGAACAATCTGTATTTAATCTCTCCTGCTTTTCTTCTGCATTTAAACTGCATTTCATTCAAAGCCAAAAAACATTATATAAACAGTTTCCCTATAATTTTAACCATATTGTATGAAAAACGGTGATAATAATTTAAAAGAACAGACTGCTCTGTGCTTCCGTGTAAGCTGTAAATTATTATTATTAGTTTGCTTTTTTTCATTAACAGTAGGGTTCCCCATTATTATTATTTGCTTTAAATTTTTGAATTTATAAGCTTCAAATATCACCGAAAGAAAGAAAGAAAGATAATAGAGTTTCTTCTCTCGTCCACAATCTCTCTCTTCTCCCCTCTTGTTCTAGGTATTGTGGATTTACTTCCTTCATGCTTTTTTCCCTTATCTTGTTATTCATTGTTGTGTGTAGTAGTTCTTGTTATGTTTTTTGGAGTGTTGTTAGTTAAAAGCAAGCCTTAAAAGCTTTATTGTTCATGTTTGAAACGAACAAGAACAAAAGTCTCTGGTTCTTATGTTCAGCTTTCAAACAAACAATCTCTCTCTCTCTCTCTCTCTTGGGCTTTGGGTCTTATTATTACTATTGATCTTTCCATAAGCAAAAGCTTGTCTCTTGGGTTGAAGCCAACCAAGAAAGCTTAACTTAAATAGTTAATAGAATTTTATATGGGTTTTAAGAGTTTCTTGGATGTTTCTGCTTGTGCTAGTTAGTAGTTTCCCCACTACTCTTTGTCTGCTTTTCTACTAAATACATACGCATAGATCTGAAAAGTTTTGTTTTCTTTTAATTCTTGGTAAGGTTTTATTACTGATGATGATGAACAAAGATATGTTATTTCATCATCAACAACAACAAGTGGAGGAAAACATGTCAAATCTAACATCAGCTTCAGGAGATCAAGCAAGTGTGTCTTCAGGAAACAGAACTGAAACTAGTGGCTCCAACTTTCACTACAACATTAATCCAAATCAGCAACAAGAAGAACAGTGTCTTGTTCCACAATCATCTCAAAAGAAGAAGAGAAACCAACCAGGCAATCCAGGTAATAATTTTTATTTACTATAGAAATTCAACAAAATAAACGAATATTCTATCTACCCTTTTGAGATTTGTCCTCTTTCTTGTTTAATAATTCATTTTTGTTGTTTTTTTCTTCACTTTTTAAAATCAGACCCAGAAGCAGAAGTGATGGCCTTATCACCAAAAACACTAATGGCTACAAACAGGTTCATATGCGAGATCTGTAACAAAGGGTTTCAAAGAGACCAAAACTTGCAGCTTCACAAGAGAGGACACAATCTACCATGGAAGCTTAAACAAAGATCGCCTAAAGACGTGATAAGGAAGAAAGTCTATGTCTGTCCTGAGCCAAACTGTGTCCATCATCATCCATCTAGAGCTCTAGGAGACTTAACAGGAATCAAGAAGCATTTCTTCAGAAAACATGGCGAGAAAAAATGGAAATGCGATAAGTGTTCGAAGAAGTATGCGGTGCAATCAGATTGGAAGGCTCATGCTAAGACTTGTGGCACTAAAGAATACAAATGCGATTGTGGAACTCTCTTTTCTAGGTAAAATTTAAACCAACATTTAATTTATATATTTTTAATATGTTTTTTTTTTCTCATTTTATCAAATATGCATTTGATGAAACTTGTGCATTCATATTTAAGTCTAAGGTTATCTATAAGGAAGAAGACAAGATGTGTGGTGTAATGTGAAAATGAGTGACACATAGTATATGAGTAGTTTCATTTAATTTTGAATAGGACAAAGGTAATAATTAATTAAGTAGCTCAAAGAATCTCATTTAAACAACTACTTATTATTGTGGTACTTATTTTTTTTATTTGTTATATTCATGAAAAGAAAATATATTTCTTCAGTCCTAATATAGGATTTTTGTACGGTTTACATTTATTGCATATTGTTCTACCATCTTATTATTCACACGTGACACACCCCACAAATTATACAACATGGACCTACAAAACCTCAAAAAATTCATTATTTATTTGATTAATTTGAATGTAATATTAATCATTTGTTTGGTTTATTGTGATTTGTGGGATGTTTGCAGGAGGGATAGTTTCATAACTCATAGAGCATTTTGTGATGCATTAGCAGAAGAGAGTGCAAGGGCCATATCAAACCCTATTCTCATCCAATCTTCTTCGCCTGCTCCTCATCAAACTCAACACAACATCAGTTTCTCTTCTTCCTCCCAAAACATCATCAGCAACAACAATGTCCATGGTCATGACCTTCCTATGAAGCAAGAAGAACCACAACATCACTTCCAAAACATCCCTCCTTGGCTCATCTCATCAAACAGCCCTAACCCTAATGGCAACTACTTCCCTCTCTCTTCTTCTTCTGCAGCCACCGGAAGATCCAACTTCCACCACCCATCTCCAGCAATGTCGGCCACAGCTTTGCTCCAGAAAGCTGCTCAAATGGGTCCCTCAAAGTCAACACCTACTCCAGAGGAAGAAGAGAAGTCAGCGTTAAGGTCAAGCGCCTATAATAACCTGATCACTACTACAATGGCCTCAGCGATGATGACGTCACCATCAGAACATGGATTCGGGTTTCAAGACTACTATATGATGAATCATCATCCTCATCCTCACCACGGCGTTGGAGAAGCATTCGAAGGTGGTTTTATCGCCGGAAACGAGAAGAATGATGTAGGGGACAATGGTGGAGGAGAGACTAGAGATTTCTTGGGGTTAAGATCGTTCATGTCTCATAATGAGATTCTAAGTTTCGCTAATAATCTTGGCAACTGTATCAACACTTCTGCTTCAGAGCAAGAACAGCGATACAGCCATCAAGATTAGGTAGTAGGTCGCTAGCATATGTATAGAGATTTTTATATAAAGTTTTAAAATATGTATGTTTTAAGAGTTTTCGGAAAGATATCATCTTGGTGCAAGCAATTTTATACCCCCAAAAAATTGATTTTATAAGTTTATTTCATGACCATCTGTTAATCACACATGCATAAAAACATAATAGAGCTCGTTGCGTATTCATGGTTAATGAAATGGTCAAAGTGAAGTCCGCACGTGCCAAGAAGACATGTGTAGGAAAACTTCCTTGTGATATTATTGAGTTGAAATCTTTTTTTTTTTTGGTAAACACATTATACATAAACAAATATAGGCAAGTTTGTTATGGAAATGTATATATGTTTAGAATTTCTATTTCATTTCTTTTACAAAGAACTAGATGATGATCCGCACACCCACACATATTTTATTTTTTGGAAGTATCTTATAAATTAAAACATAAGTTATGTTACATTAACTCTCTAATAATCTTATCATTATTATATCTTATAATACGCTTAATAATTTGGTTTTGGTAAATTACCTCACACCTTCCAATTTAGTCACATAAAATATGTCAATAGATATAAGTTTAGGAATCTTCTATTATTATAAGGAAATATGTCAATAATAGTTAAATGCATCCACAATATATTAACAAAAATCACAGATTAGTAATATGAAATATTTATATACTCTAACAAAATTTACACGCTATATATATTAGATAAATTTATTTCGATGTAAATTTTTAAAATTATATTGTTTAAAAAAAGTTGTTTAAAAAATTCTTTTTAATAAAATTCTTTATAATATTCATTTATGAAGCTATAAGTTTAGTTTTTAGCAAAAATTTCTTCGAAGTTTATATTATCTTTGAAAATTAAAATACACTAATATTTAATAAAGCTCTATTTATATTATTTCATCTAAAAATGAAATACTAATCTAACAAAGAATAAAATATAGAAGAAGAAACAAACACATGTTTGAAAAACATGTATAATATAGAAAATTTGAAACAATCTATTTGATTAATACACTTATTATATAATATTATTATGTTTGAAAAATATTTACTATACATATCGTAAATATGTGATTACTATAATATATACCAATTTACAAGTGAAAACAAAATGTTTATATAACTAACTATAAACGAAAACAAACACCCGCGCGGTTGCGCGGGTCAAATTCTAGTTTTATATAATTTAGTTTTATACAATTTTGAGTTTGTCCAATTCAATTTAGTTTTAATAGCGTCAAACATTATATTATGTAGATATAAACCGTGCAGTGAAAACATTATTTTTGTATGTTTGTTCGAAGTGCAAAATTAAATTCAAACTTAACTGTTTACGTTAAAAATATAAGTTGAGAGTTTAGTTATTTCTGATTTTAATAATTATTCAAAGTTCTTAAAATAATATACAAATTTCTAGAATTTTTGGTCTTAAAACTCTTAATCTTTATTTATAGGTTATGTAAAATTCAAACTTAACTTTGGTCTTAACTTTGCAAGTGCGGAATATTTTATGATGAAAAATAAATAACTTAACAAATATTTTGGTAATTTAAAATAATTTATATACTTAAAATATTTTTTCCATTTAAATCAATATTTTTAAATTCAACCCAACCGCGGTTAACCTAGTTAAACCGATGATCCGATGGTTCTATTTTGATTTTTAAAAATATTCATATTTAAAAACTCACAAAATCTGAGACTAACCGATTGAATCGACGCATAACTGATATGTAATATTTAAAGGAAGAATTTCAATTATACCACTTTTCATGTTTACCATCAACAAATGAACATTTTAAAAAATACACATTTTATTAAAGAATAAAAGATTCTTATATCCATATTCTTTATATATATACATAAAATAAATATTAAATAAAATATTAACCCTAAACCCTAAAACATCAATTCTAAACTCTAGACCCTAAAAAGTAAACCCTAAAATATCAATTCAAACCCTAAACCCTAAAATATCAATTCTAAACCTTAAACCCTAAACCCTAAAAAGTAAACCTAAACCCTAAAAAATCAACACTAAACCCTAAACTATCAATCTTAAACCCAAAACCCTAAATTCTAATAGTATTTTGAATATTAAAATTTTAATGGTAAAGTTGGTTAGTGTAAAGTTGAAAAGTGGTATCTTGAAAGTGTTATTTCTGGCAATTTCCCATATTTAAACCTGTAAAAATAATTTTATTTTTGTTGTTTTATATATTATTTGAATTTTTTAATTTATCTAAATAGTTTGAAATAAAATTGTGAGAAATTATTAAAAATGGTGAGATTAATATTTTGTATTGTTTGGATATAAGATTAGTTATAATGTTGTTTGAAAACATGGATAATAGTATAGATAAATGATATATTGTTTTGAGATATGAATAGTAGTATAAAGAAATAAATGTATTGTTTGAAAACATGGATAGTAGTATAAAAAAAATATATTAGTGATTTAATGTAAGTTTAACTATAAAGTAGAAAGATGTATTTAATTTAAAAACTTACCAAATAAATGTTAGGACCAACCTAATGTTTCTGATTTAATAAGATAGATTACAAAAAAATATTTATTAAACTTTAAAATTACTCTGAATTTAACATACTACTAGATCTCAACCCGCGCAACCGCGTGGGTATTTGTTTTCGTTTATTTTTATATAAACATTTTTTTTTAACTTTTAAATTGGTATATATTATATAAGGTGTGTATATCAAAATGATGATTAATTATTATATAGTATGATTAATTATTGTTAGAAAATGATGATTTTGTTATTTTTAAAAATAACTATATAATTTTTAAAGTTAACATCAAAAATATATAAATAATTAACTTATACTATTACAATATTAAATTATATAATCTCATATATTAATTATAATATCTATAAATCCAATGGATCATTTAATTTTTATTAGCCCAATAAAAATTTATAGTAAAGCCCAATAAATATTATTAGTGAATCTAATGAATGTTATTAATGAATGAATAATGTAATGTCATAAATTCTATTAGATAGTCCATTTTAAAATATCACATATGAAGTGAGATTTCACTTTTAATATATAAGATAATTACACGTCATAAGTTTTAAACTCAAAATCGTTTATCACTTCATGGATTGATCATATATATTTTTTATAAGTTAAAAAACATCAATATAAAATTCCTAACACTCACTTAAGAACTCAAGTATTTTATAAAATAGTGAATAACAAAGATCCACTTTACATAAGATTAAGTTTGGACTATAGATGATTTTTTTTAATCCAAGAATGAAGTACGCTTATTAAAATTTAATCATATAGAAATAGCTTAGAAATTTGATATTGTTTGTGTGTAGATCGGAGAATATTAATCTTTGGCACAACAACAAAGGTTGCCGTGGCCTCTAGGACTGACTTGACATAAGCCAATGGTCGTTGGTGGGAAGTTAGGGGGTCCACACCGACTCGTGCAGTCTTGATTGGTCTTACACGGACCTTTGTAAACACATTCTGAAGGATGCACATCATTCTCCCTTGTATCTGTTTTTTGTTTTGGTAAACATGTTAAGGTGGTATTACCGATTGTTGAACAAATAAAAATTAAATTAGACAGATCTAAAGATAACTATTGGAAAAAAGCAATATGATCTTTGATTGTAGATGTGATTATAGAATATATAAAACATATCACCTCTTGACTGAGAAGTCACAAGGAGAGAACATATAACGAGTATGACTAGAGATTGAAGCTTTGATAATGCCATTTTGTTGGTATGAAGTAAAATTTCAATGATTCAGTTTTTTTTTTGGTTCTTGGTGTGAAGGAAGTAAAAGAAAAAAACATGCCTATAAATACACCAGAGAGGGAGTGGATGAGTATGTTTAATATCAAATTTGTTTATATTGTTGAGATTTCTTTCTATATAAATAGGTAAAATCTTTTAAAAAGTTATAAAATATTCAAAGACTAAGTATTGTACATGCATTGCATTGGTTTCAAATTAATATAATATTATATGTAATAATTTATATTTTAATATGTAAATGTATTGTACAGTGTATTTAGAAGAAATTTTATTTTATTAAATGTTTATATTATATATTAACACAGATATCTAAAACAAATAAATGGTAAGATGATATTACCTTGTTTATATATATATATATATATATATATATATGATACTTTACTATATTAAGTCTCTGAATGGAAAAAGCAGATCAAGCGTTGCGAATCTAACATATCAAGCGTATAGAGCGGGATGAGAGTGGATCAAGCAGATCGAGCGGTTCAAATGTGGATCAAGCGGTTCAAAACATATGTTTGAATGGTGAAAGTGGATAAAAAGTGATCCAAAGTACTGTACCAATTTAAATTAATTTATATAAAAATTTATAATACTAATTATTTTTATAATTAAAAAGTCTTATTTTAAAATAATTTACTGATGAGAAATATAAAAAAATATAACAGAAAATTATTTTAAACATTAAATATATATCTGATTTTGGATGTTTTAAGATAATTATATTTTGATAAAAAGTGATGTAAAATCAATTTAAAATTATTTCTCAAATATAGCTTAGTTAAAGATGAATAAATTTCATGTACAATAAAATTAATTAAATAAGTAACTTAAAAAATTTGCTAAAAATAGTGATAGTATTTAACAGTTATTCTCAAAACACAAAAGTCAACAATTACATTATATGAAAAAATTAAATCTATTACTATAAAGAAGGGTTTCCCTCTTTTTAAAGGAGCCACGTCACTAAATACTGATTTCTGAACATGTGTCCAACCCTATAAAAGTTTCGTTCCTTTTAGTTTGTTTTGTTATGGGCTTTTAAGAGTGATGTGGGCTTGAATTAAAATTAACAAAAAGTTAAACCTATTCATCTTTCCCGACTCGCCCTCAACTCACGGCGAATAGTGATGTTAGGGTTCATTGTCCTTCTTCAGTATCCAACAATGGAGTTCCAGGATGGTGTGTGAGCCGAATCGTCACGAGAAATCTCTGGATCGAGCTTCATTGGCGTCGTTTCGCATTAGGTTCTTTTGAAACATAACATGATCAATTAATTGAAGTCGCCATTAACAACAATCTTTACTCCTTCATCCCACATATCAATCATTCAATACTTCTTACCTCTCTGAGGCGGTGTATATACACCTATAAAAAGGCCAGCTTTCATCCCCTGAATATATATCATCCTCACATCTCTTAATAACACCAGATCGAAACTTATTTTCCAGTAACTCATATATCCTTCTCGCTATGAGGTAACTGATAACTTTGTGCATGATCCTGTGCTAACTGGATCATTCCCCCGTGCATGTCCTATTGGTATAATGCCTTGATAAGGTATCAATCTTTAAAACCCACAATTATGTCTTAATTTATCACATTACTAGGAAACCATGGTCAACTTGCAGACTGAAAAAGTTGATTCAATGTCAATTGATTGTGAAGTTCATGGATTGTTGTTATCAGGCCAAGAAGCTTCATAACTTCGACTAAATATGTAAGTTTCATACCCTGCAAATCATCATTTCGATTCTTTCAATCATTGCATACCTCCGTCTGCTATCTTTCTCGCTGGCTTGAATACATGATCTATCTGATTCTTAGTTATGTACATGGCTTAGCTTTAGGGTTTTTCAGATGTCAAAGAAATTTTGCTTTCCTTTTAGAATGTTCGAAGATTTCTTTGAAATTGAAAATGTTGGTTTTATGTTTGGTTCTTGGTGATGACGCACTTCTCTGCGTACCTTACCTTTCGTGTCTTCTTATCAGATAATCTTTAACAGCCTTATGAATCCAGTTTAGGGGTAATTCGTTAAACTGAGTATTTGTCATTAGCTGGTAATCGCTAAATTAGTGATCTTTCATTACCCGGATCAGACTTATATGTTCTATATCAAACGTCGCATTAAAAACCTGTTATATTTTCTCTCTCTTAGGTATGTCCTGTATGCTCAAAGACTTTATAGATAAAAGACTATGTTGCAGTGTTTTAAGTGTTTATAAATAACTGATTAAGACTGTTTTCATTTTTGCTGATGGAGTCAACTTTTTCTTATGATCAGAACAATGTTTCACGATGAGATTCAAGGAGAAGAAACTTCAGAACATAGTATTTCTGGAAAGAGTAGAAACAAACTGAAAGATCAAGCTCTGCTCTTCCCCCAAAATCAAGGTAATTAATGCTCATAGTGCAAAAGTATGGGAATTGTTTATCAAAAAGAAGATGATCATGCGCAATGCAATTGTTGTTTCTGTAAATTTGCATAAACTGAAAGTAGCACTTGAAACGCGTACGTGTTCTCCACGTGAAATAGCTGAATGTATTTGTGATATTGTCTTAGAGTCTTTGAAGAATAAGAAGAAGTTTGTTCTTCAACGACTAAGTTTTGGGTAATGGGCCGAGTACGGTTCTGAGGCCCATAAGAGTATTATGACCGTTAGTAGAGAAGAGCGTGGTTTGGAGTGCGTGGCTCTGTGTTTCCACTTTCGACAAGAAGAACAAAGAGTACATCGATGCTCTGTTTAGTTCGAAAGAAGAAGGCAGTCTGTGTGCAGGCTTGAAGACAACACTCCTCTGTAACTATGGTTAATATTGTATGAAACCAAGTGTGGTTGAGTTAAGTGGTTGTAAGTGTATATAACCTAAGTGATTCTAGTGGATTCCGGGCATCAGATCCCGGCGAGACGTAGGGCGAAGTTGAAGTGCCTGAACTCGTTAACATTTGCTGTGTTCTGTTCTTTATTAATCACAAACAAACAACATACTACATACTACAAACGAGAGTTAAACATGAGAGAGAGAGTGATAAAGATTCAAAATTTATAAGTCATTATTGGGTTCGAATCACAACAATATTTTTGTTCCTTTTTTTTTTTTTTTTTTTTTTTTTTTTTTTNACCAACTGTTCACAGTCCATCTCAAAGCGCACTTCTCTGTTTCCTGTTTTTAAAATTTCTTGCATAGCCCAAATAAGACCTTCAGCTTCCGCATGTAGAGGAGATTCCACGGTGGCCGTTCCATGCATTCCAAACAGAGCCGGTGTTCCTGCGTTGAGGAGCACAAAACCCAGTCCCGTTTTTTCATTGTTGCTGATCCTTTATGTATTTAATACAGCTTGAGTTACTACAATATGTGTTTGTTTTAAGACTTTTTGATGCAAGTTGTCTTCTCTGTTACTGTTGTAAACTTGTGATGTGTTAACACATCTTGATCAATAAGTTCAAGTACAACGTGGGTTTTTAACTTTCTTTGAACGTGTCATATGTTTGAAATCGAAATTCGTTTGAAACTTTGAACAATGAGTAAAATGATTTTCTAATAGGTGAAAAAAAAATCGACATGTCAGTGAATTGTTAAAGAAATTATACAACCTTCCATAACTTTTGTATGGTAACATCTTGACTAAATATTTTAACAAATTTTTAAAAGCCTGTAAATATTGATATACTTATTTGTTAACAATTTAACCAAATAATTAAGCACTACGTCATAAATAGTTCATAAATATGTTATTAATCACGAGTACGTTTTTAACAAAACTAATTGTCAACTTTTAAATCATAAATTAAATTTTCAAGGCATTTTTAATGATTAAAAAAACTATGGTTATACTAATATATCTGAAAATTTTATATTCAATGGTACATTTTGAACATAAAATACTTTTTTAAATTGGATGTATAATAATACTAATAATTTTAAAAATCATGAATAATTTTCTTAACACAATTTTATAAAAGTAAAGTTATAAATGGGGTTATATTAATTTATAGTAATATATATATTTCATATTTTAAACATCATAGGAAGAACGAGAAATTCGATAACAAATATAATATATAGACATCATATTATTTTATCATTGTTAATAATTTAAATATATATTAAAATTTATTCCAAATAAAAATAAAATGTTATTATTATATTCTATAATTGGCTTACATCTGCATAATTTAAAAGGAATAAGAAATCATATAAAATTGTACAATCACTAAAAATACATTTTAATCTATCAAAACTAACGTAATTAATTAATTCAGTTATATTAATATATTTTTCTTAATTTAAATTTTTACAACTACAATATAAATGTATAGTAATTTTTGAATATTTTATGTATAAATTAATTAATTTTAAATAAATTTATAATAACTAATAAATAAAATAAATAGTTATTTACTAATAATGTTTATCATCACAAATGCACAATTGACTAAATCCAGATGAACGTAAGATTTCCTACATGTGGAGATACAATATTTTTGTCTTAATGTTTCTCATTTTCAGGTACAAGAAGTTGTACTCAGTTTGTCTATTTCTAGAACCCAAAACAAGCAAAGTTCTTGGAAGTTGAAATGACGAATCAAGAGATAAATGTGCAACATAAAAGCAAAGTTAGAAAGAAACACTATTGTTCATACCTTTGATGACACCCAGTAAGAGCAATCCTATAAACTTTAGGAAGGAATACCAAGAATTACGAAATCCCTTTAGGAAGGAATACTAAGAATTACTTTGGTATATGATCTAGAGGCATAAAAATGACTCAATTGAGCTTAAACAATGTAAACACACTGCTCGCCATGTCAGAACTTTGGGACGGACTGCAAAGAATTGGTAGCAATGCTCATGAATCCTCAGGGATGGCCAAGCTTTTCGACGGAACTGGAGAGGATTTCGACGTTAAGGATTTGTTTCCCAGAATTCAAAATCTCTTATGTTCCTAGATCTCAAA